CTCTGCAGTTTCTGTCTCTTTGTTTTAATCAGCTTATTTTTAATTTTCTTGATTTTATAATAAAAATTTTCAGTAGAATCTTAGTAAGAATTATATTAGAGATTTGAAACTTGTTTTTAGGCACCTTCACACCATATCAATCATGCGTAGTCCTAAAGAATGCTTTTCACACTAACAATAAGTTTCACCACTAGGAAAAACCAGCTAAAGTTTTTGCCAGTCCAAGTTTAAGATTACATTCAACATTCTGTGTAGTTTTGGTCAGGGACATCAAGACCTCTAGAAAATTAGCAAAAATGCAATTGAGGGCTAAGGGAATAATAATAGATCATAAGCAGAAATCTAACTTGATGTTTTATGTAGAGAAGTTATAAGGAAGTTGTTCCGTTTCTTCTTAACTACAAAACTTTATGCTTCTTGTTTAATCAATCATGAGAAACAACTGCGTTGTCAGTTACCATAGCAAATAATGTCTAGGTACATGTTGTGATTAATGAATCTATAGAAAATAATAGGTAAAGAAGGTAGAAACAGGAGTTAAGATTTAGAATTATGTTTTAAGGTTAACCTGACATTTTACGAACAATGAGGTTTGCTTACAGAAATCAGATATTGTCTAACTACATAAAGGGGAACAAGGAAGATTTTGATATTCTTGATGTTCTATATTGAAATGATTAATGTGTATGATTTAGACCACTACTTTGAAAAGAATGATTAATAGATTAATGGTATAGAGTAGTATAAAAGCTGTTTGAGAATCTAATATAAAGGTAAGAGGAGAAATAAAATGTGAAGGGAAAAAGAGGAGAAATTAAATGTGAGAGGAGAAGATTCACCATCTAACAAGACCCATTGATTCTGTGAGCTTCATTTCTTTGCCGACGTCATACCTCCCTCTAGGACCCCCAAATAAGAGTGTTGGGGCTGGCTCTCGACAGAACAGATTTGATACATTAAACACTAAAGACCGAAGATCAGAATAGTTGTGGGATGACATCAAGAACATTATACATGAAGAAAGCAAAAAGTCATTAAGAAGACAAGAAAGAAGGAGAAAATCAAAATGGATGTCAGAAGAAACACTGAAACTTGCTCTCCAGTGCAAGAGCTGGACAGAAAATTTCCAAGGTCAGCTTGAGAAGACAGAGTCAAATATTACAATGAAATGTGGAAAGAGCTGGAATTAGGAAACCGAAAACCAAAAGTTAGAAAACCAAAAGAACATGCTCAGCATTTCTCAAGTTGGGGGAACTGAAGAAAAAATTCAAGCCTCAACTTTTGTTACTGAAGGATTCTCTGGGCAAATTATTGACTGATGTAGAAAGCATCAAAATAAGATGGAAGGAATACACAGAGTCACTGTACCAAAAGGAAATGGTCGATATTCAACTGTTTCAAGAGGTAGCATATGATCAAAAGCCAATGATACTGAAGGAAGAAATCCAAGGTGCATTGAAGCAATTGGCAAAGAATAAGGCACCAGGAATTGATGGAATAAAAATTGTGCCCATTCCAAAGAGAGGTGACCAACGGAATACAGAAATCATCAGACAATATCTTTGATATTCCATGCGAGTAAAGTTTTACTAAAGGTAATACAGAAACAGCTGCAAGCACATATTGACAAGAGAACTTCCAGAAGTTCAAGTTGGATTCAGAAGAGGATGTGGAACGAGGGATGTCATTACTGATGTCCAATGGATCTTGGTTGAAAGCAGAGAACACCAGAAAGATGTTTACCTGTGCTTCATTGATAACTCAAAGACTTTCGATTGTGTGGATCATGACAAGTTATGGACAACATCGCGAAGTATGAGTATTCCAGAACACTTAATTGGGCTCTTGGTACATAGACCAAGATGTTCAGACAGAATATGAGAACACTGAATGGTTTAAAATTAAGAAAGGTGTGCGACAGGATTGTATTCTTTCACCATAGTTATTCAACCTGTATGCTGAGCAAATAATTCGAGAAGCTGGGTTATATGAGGAAAAATGTGACATCAGGATTGGAGGAAGACTCATTAACAACCTGCTGTATGCAGATGATACTTGCTGAAAGGGAAGAGAACTTAAAATACTTACTGATGAAGATCAAACACCACAGCCTTTGATATAGATTGCATCTCAATGTAAAAACAAAAATCCTTACCAATGGACCAAAAAATATTCTTATCAGTGGAGAAATGATTGAAGTTGTCAAGAACTTCATTCTTCTTTAATCAATTCATCAACACTCATGGAAGCAGCAGTCAAGAAATCAAAGGACATATTGCATTAGGCAATTCTGCTGCACAAGACCTTTTTAAAATATTGAAGAGCAAAGATGTCAGCTTGAGGACTAAGGTGCACTTGACCCAAGCCATAATATTTTCAGTAACCTCATATGCATGCGAAAGGTGGACAGTGAATAAGGGAGACTGTAGAAGATTTGATGCCTTTGAGTTATGGTGTTGGAAGAGAATACTGAAAGTGTCATGGGCTGCCAATAGAACCAACAGATCCGTGTTGGAAGAAGTGCAGCCAGAGTGCTCCTTGGAGGCCAGGATGGCCAGACTTCGTCTCTCATACTTTGGACATATTGTCAGGAGGGACCAATTGCTGGAGAAGGACAGCATGCTTAGTAAGGTGGTGGGTCAGAGAAAAGTAGGAAGAACACCAGTGAGATGAATTGGCAAAGTGGCGGCATCAATGGGCTCAAGTGTGGCAACAATAGTGAGGTTGGCCCAGGACTGAGCAGTGTTTCGTTCTGTTGTACTGAACAGTTCACTATGAGTTGGTACTGACTTGATGGCACCTAACAACATGAGTATTTTTATAAACCCAATGTTTATCCTTGGGGGTTGTAAGCAATACATTCAAATGTAGACATTGATTTGAACAGGCTCCGTCATGGGCTGTGACGCCAAACTGGTAGCGACCCAAATTTTAAAGATCTGAATGAACAGGAACAAGAACCAGAATGGAAAGTTAAGGGTCAAAGTCCTGAATGGGAGACTGGAAGCCGTATAGTGAGCTCTTTGGAGTCTGCGATAGAGACTGGGGTCCTGCAGAGGGCCCCCCAGTTCAGAGCCACGTAGTTGGCTGCCATCCTTGAGCTGGATGCTGTTTTTCCATCTGCAAGATTTTGATGCTGGGCAACAGGCATGTTTCTAGCAAAGCTGTCCCCTCATTTTCCCATTCTGATTATTGCTCCTGTTCACCGAAATTTTAAAAAAATCTAGATCTGTTCTGGTATTGCTTCCTTGGTCTTGAATTGGTTTGAAACACAAATATTATACATGCATACATTTAAAAAAATTCTAAAACTGACATTTGGCATTAGGTAATGTTGCAGTTGGTCAGTTGCCGTGGTAACTCTATTTGTGGACAGTTTTGGGTCATCTAGATCATCCCTAGTAATGAGCATGGCATTTCTCGTCTAGTTACAACAGTAGTGAGTGGTATGAATAGTGTGTTTCCTTCATGTTTCACAGTAACATCTCACTGCTTACTCAATCTGCCTATTGGCGTTAGCCATCAGGTTGGGTCCACGTTTTGAAGCAACTGAAATCCCTGGTTTAGTTAGAAAACAATCCATACAGTAATGTTTGAATAGTACAATAAAGTAGATCTGCAAATATTAGCAAGTTGCAATATTAAATGTAGTACATATTGTTAGGTGCTGCTGATTTGCTTCCGACTATAGTGACCCCTATATAGGGTGAGTTTGAACTGCTGACCTTGAGGTCCAGTGCTGTATCCCAGTGCCACACTTATGCTACAATGTACCAGTCTTATCTCTAAGTTTCAATTTCCTTACTATGATAGATGTGAGTGGTTATGGCCTTCTCGTCTCCTTGGGAATCCAGTGCCTCCTCTTCCTTGCACACCCTACATGGCTTCTGACCAGTGGGGTCACTGGAGTTTGGAACGCTCTTCCTCAGCTGTCAGATCCCTCAGAAAGCCACGTCTAGCTCTGCTCTTCTCTCCCACTATCTATGTAAATCCTCTACACAGACCTGTGTTGTACTCTGGAGCCTGGGTGCCCCCCACCCACCTGGACAGCGCTACTCAAAGTGCCTTAATGAGTAGCAAGGCCTTAAGAAGTTGCTCTTGCCATAGGGCTGCTTTGGGAGTGGAGGACAGGCCCCGTGCCAGGGTTTGCACCTCTAGCTGTGTGGTACAGGAGGCAATCTCGGCTCTGCCAATGGAAACTCCATGGGACTGAAAGGACAAGGGGAAAATACTTTTTCTTCTCAGCATCTGGGGGACCCTCTAACAGCATGGCAGGTCCTGGACTCAGCCAGGCAGATGGTGATGTGGCATCAGCATGCCAACAGGCTTTGGTCTGACAGTAATGAGTGACTATGTCGTCTCCTGTCCCCCACCCTAGTCTAGTGTGAGACAGTCGACGGTCAGGAACATCCCAAGACAATGGTGGTCTGGTGATGGCATCGTGACTAGAACCCCAGGCTACCCACAGAAAGGATGGCTCCTCTATGTCCCCAGCCGGCTGGGGCTGACCACCACTCAGCAGTTCCCCTGGCTCAGCTTGTGGGCCACCTGTGGGTGAACCCAGGGAAACAGGTGAAGCTGGGTCTGGACAGACTGACTGGAAGATGACCAGATCTGAGCTTTAGTTTTTTGGTTCCTCAAGTCTGAAGTCTGGGGCTTCTTCCTTTTGCAAGGCCCCTACCTCCACCCCATGCAGATTTTGCTGAGGTGAGAGTGCAGGATAGAACTGTGCACACCATCCTCTGCCCTGAGGAGCACACAGGTAGGGGCACAAACTGGAGACAAGGTCTGGGAAACCTCTCGGTGCTGAACAGCAAAACGAAAGCTTTATTACACATTTGAGAAGCACCCACCACTCAGAGCTGCTGGCCACCATTGTTCCTTGTGGCCAAGGTCTTGCCCCAGGAGGGCACAGCCTGAAGGGGAGACACCTTTGCCACGAAGGCACAGCGTCCATGGTGCGTCTCCGAGGAGAGCCAGTCCATACTGAGGACATGGGGTCATTTGGCCAAGTCTGCTGCCACAGCTTTGCGCATCTTGTCCTTGAGGTAGGCGCCTTTCTGCCATTCGGACTTGAGTTCCAGCCACTCGTAGTAAGGAACCTGTTAGTGACAGGGCAGGGTGGGAACCCCCACTTCCCTCTGCCCAGTCAAGGGCCCTACTGCCCTGCCCTCCCTCTGACACCATCCAAATCTATGCTGGGGAACTGCAGATCTCCAAAGTCGATTTAAACCACAGGGTCGGTGATTCAAGCTCACCAATTGCTTTTTGGAAACCCTAGACAGGGTTGCTTTGAGTTGGAATGGACTTGACGGCACTTGACAACAACAATATCATGTGCTGAAGAAAGCTGACGCCCAAGCGGTATAACGGTGTAGTGAAGAGCCCGACCTCACCCATGCTACAAGGGGTCGAGGGCTCTGAGGACACAGAGGCCAGGGGCTGGCAGACTATAAACATGGTGCCCAAAGCGCAAGAATGGTTTTGAATTTTTGAAAGTTGGGAAACCAAACCTAATTTGATCTGAAAACGTGGCAGAATGTGTGATAGCGCTCTCAACAGAAGCCTGCTGCCTCTGGTGCCTGGCACCACCGAGGACAGGAACGGTGGCTCCAAGTGCCTGACCCTGGTCCACGGAGGGGCCCTGGGCAGAGACAGAGAAGATGGACTTGGGAGTCCTTACTGTTTCAAAACTGTGCCACCCTGGGAAAAGCAGGCCACCTTCTGAGCGCGCTCTGTGGCCTGGATGCCAAGGAGGGTGGCTCACCTCATAGCTACAGCCCAGTCCAGGTACTCACATCGATGACCAGGAAGCCAGCAGCCAGTATGTGGCGCCGTGCCAGGAGGAAGCGCCCCAGCAAGTCCTTGCTCCGGCTACTGAAGTTGGAAAACTCCCACCGCAAGAAGGCCAGCCTAGGAGGAGCGGGTGACTTATGGTTCCTCCCTCCCCCCAGAAGAGAGCAGTTTGCAAGGCCCCATGGGAGCCCCACCATTGGTCAGGGACACCCACCTCTTGGCCCCAGGGGGCAGTGACTGGCTTCCAGCTGGCTGGGCAAGATGAGGAGCAACGAAGTCCCTCAGAGGTAGAAACTGACCCTCAGTGTCCAGCAGCACCTCAGCGTCTGGTGAAGGGGTGCAGGGAGTGAAAGCCATTGGGTGACATCCTCTGAGACCACTGGACTCAAAGCAACCCCTGCCCCGTGAAGTGGGCGGACTAGGGAGAAGCAATGTGCTTCAGAGCACACCATCTGCGGGAGCCTCCAGGTCACCTGGCTAGGGGCGAACCTGACATCTACTCTCAGGTCTGCAATGATACTGAGGGGAGAGGCCTTAGCCTGAAGCTTTGGCCAGCTGGGCTTTGTCCTGGCTGCAGAGGAGGGCAGGGCTGGAGTACACTCAGCTGCAGAGCTCGGACTGGGCCTGGGAGTCTTAGGGAAACCAGCCCCCAATCACCAGGAGGAGCCCTTACCCAGAGCCCAGCCATACTGTGTGGTCACTGCGAAGCAGCCCTTGTCAGCACTCCCTAGCAGTTCCTTCAAGGTGCCCTGTAGCTCCTTCTGCAAGGGGGTCACCTTCTTGTCAGGGGCTGTGGGCCCGGGGACCGATGTCAAGGCCGGCAAAAGGGGGCCTGTGTATTCGGGGTGCTCCAAATGAGCAGTGGTGTTGATGTGCAGAAGCTTCTGGAAGGTGTTCTTCTCCTTTGGAGACACGCAACCTAAGGGACCAGACAAGAGAGGGAAGGGAGTAACAGGCTCAAGTTGCTACCCTGGTTCTTGCTCTTCCAGGGACCCTGAGGGCGGGGGTGGAGGAGGGCCCAAGTTGGGGAAGCAGCGGCAGCCCCCGTGCCCAAGCCCCATCTCGGACCTGGGTCAGGAGACTTGGTGGGTCACTGGCAGGGAGTGGGTGGAGAAGGGATAAACATGGGGGACCTTGGCCTTTTCTCCCAAACCTACTCCTCCACAACTCACCCAGGAATTGGGCGTGGAAGCTGGGGTGGAGGACAGCTCGCAGTTCTGCTTCCTGCACCTGCCCCAGCACACAAAGGGCCCACACCACATCCACCTGCAGTGCAGGGCTCAGGTTGGCCAGCCCCGAGGCTAGCTTCTCGTGCACCTGGGTCAAGAACAGGGTTGTTGTTAAGTGCTGTCAAGTGGGTAGGGTGGAGAAAGCAGGCTCTGCTCAGTGGCCTGCAAATGCCCTGGTCTCACAAATGGCTATGTGGCAGCCACAGAGCTGGACACTAGCAGAGGGAGGGGCAGCACCCTGGCTAAGAAGCAGCTAGAGTCAGGCTTGGAGCATGCTGGGGGATGGTGCAGGGAACCAAAAGTCCTTTCATTCCTTCCCCATCTGGACAGCAGGGCAGTACTGTTTGATGCCAGCACTTAGCGAGATGTTCGCTACCCCAGTCCCCAGCCGGGACCCACACCACAAAACCACTGCACCAATAACTCCCTCTAAGTGGGTGCCCGTTTGTTAAGCTACAATTGTTTCTAGCAGAAGGCAGGTTGACAGGGGGAAAAGCAGGGGGTGCACCCTCTACTGGCTGCTCTCAGGAACCGCTCCAGGCAAGCACCTGTGGGGCCCATAGTCTTGTCCAAAGGGATCAGAGGGGAAACCCCCAGTCTCTAGAGTGGTATTCCCCAAGCTTCCTAGCTGTCTCTGAAGTGGGCCACCAAGGATTAGAGAGTCCGCAGGGCACAGGCAGACCTGCCCTTTCTGACTACCACTGCCCTCAATGTGCACAGCCAGTGCACATCTGGATGTGGGGACCAATCCCGTGGATATGCTACTCACAGGCCACTTTACCCCACCCACCCTGCGCTGCTGTCATTTAGACTCAGTAGTGACCCTGTATGGGGTTTTCAAGGAGCGGTTTGTGGGTTTGAACCCAGTGCCCTCCCTGCACTGGCCTGTTACTCTCCCCCGTTCCTGAGCTGCCCTGGAGGAGTGACCCACCAGCTGGCAGAGGGCAAGGGAAAGGACGGGGAGGGGGCACAGAGACCGTACCAGGCTGAAGAACCGGTCTTCTTCTTCTGGATGGAAGTTCAGATGGGCAAAAGCCTGGACCACGTTGCACAGGTGTGGCAGGGTGATGTCCTGGGATTTGTTCAGGACATGCTGGGCTCAGAGTGAGGGAAGATGAAGCAGTAAGAAACAAGGCTCCTTGCGGAGGGCTCAGTCCCACACACCTGCTGCCCAGCCCCAAGCTGGAGGGGCCTGGGAGAGATGTCACAACTGGACCCTTCCACCAGGCCAGACCTGCAGCCACCCTGTTAGCATTTGCCTGCAAGGGCAGGAGTATCCAGAACCCTTAGTCTTTGCTCTGAGGGGCCCTAGGACCTGTTTCACTGAGCACGTTCAGCAGCACAAACAGCCACTCTGTACAACTCCCAGAAGAGGGTGTTCTGAGGAACAGCGGAAAGGAGACTCCAACCCTGTCCAGACAGTGTTGCTACTGCCTGCTACGGTAACCCAAAGACAAAGGAGTAGGTGTATGATGCTCAGGAATTTCTCACAATACTATTCTCATCTTCCCAAACATAAGAGCTAGACGTATTTGCCACCACTAAGCATTTTCTGACTAGTTTTGCTTCCCTAATTAAAGCGACACTTTCAAACAACCGGAGTTGGTTCCTCTCAAGTGAGAGCTCAGCTTCTGCGTCCTCCCAGTCAGGAGCAGGCATCTTGGCCAGCCGGTCAGGACCCACCTCACCTGGGAAAAGGCTTCAAACAGGGGCAGGTTAAGCCACTTGAGGAAGGCCAAGGATTTGGAGCAGTGGGCCACCTCGCTGGGCGTCAGGTTGGGTACGTGGGGCAGCAAGTCGGCTGCCAGTCGCTGGAACACCTGGGCCTGGTGGAAGTTGAGTTTGCCTTTAGGACAGAGCAGACCACAAAGGTGACCGGTAGGCTCCCCAGGCCATCACTGCTGCCCACTCTCATGGTCTACAGGCTTGGTGTCTGTAAGAGACATTATCCCTGAGGCCCAAGACAAGGGGCAGGGCCCATGGCTTACAGTGTTGATGTGGCAGCCTTTTGGGCCAGTGCCTGCCACGGGGGAGGCAGGCACTGAATTTGACACAGCTGCAGGTCTGTCTGCCAAGCTGTCCCGGGTCAGGGACCACCCTCCCTAGAAAGGGCTCACCGTAGGCATAGGCCATGTCCATAAGAACGCCTTTCGTCAAGGTCAAGGGTTTCTGGACCAGGTGATAGGAGACGGCACGCAGCAAAGGCACCGAGCGCCGGTTCTGTGCTGCCAGGGTCAGCAGCACCTTCCGCAGGTCATCAGGGCCCAACTGTTCCATCAGCTCCAGGCACTGTGGATCACAGCCGATGACCAAGGGTCCCGGTAGCACCCGAAGCCCCAGACCTCAGCAGAGGTGGAGTGGCCCAGGAGCTACAGAGCTCACGTTGGCAGCCAGCTGCACTAGCCCATGAGACTATAAAGGGCTGAATTGGGAGGTGGGTGATGCCCACTGTTCTCTAAGGAACTATTTTAACCAGAACCCAGGATCTGGGCCTGACAATAACTTTCTGTGGTCCTTCAAGAATGGCCTGTCATCTCTACCTGCTAAGGTAGCTGGGAAGGGCAAATTAGAGTGCGAGTACACAGTGCCTTTGAGAAAGACAAACTCCACTCTCTTAACAGGAGGTCCCACCTAGGGAACAAGACTACGCTAGATGGAATGAAGTTCCCAGAGAGGCAGAGTGCAAGTTCTGCTCAACACGGTCCTTCAGTGTCTCGGAGGAGTAAGCAAGTGGGCGAGGGAGGTGCTCCCTACTGTTGCCTGGAGCCTGTCCCTCCCCCTTGGCATGGTCCTCCAGAAATACAACATAGCACGCCCCAGGTGCCTGTTGAGACAGTGTTTCCAGGCCTCTGCCCTCACAGAACATGAGGCTCCCACCCATGGACACAACCGGCATAGACTCATGTTTCCTTCCCCAAGAAAACGCGTTCCAGAGCTTGTGAGGAGGAGGAGGGACAAGGTGGGTACCACGTGTTTCAGGTCAGTACCTTATCTTCCAAACGGTTCATAAGAGGCTCTGAGAGGTGACCCATTTTCATCATGATGGCCACCACTGTGCGGCCATCTTCGATTTCAGCCCAGCGCCTCTCCAGGTGCACAATCAGTTCCGCCAGCAGCTCCTGTGAGTCCCACTCCTGCATGTAGGCGGTGCTTGTCTCAGCCAGGAAGGCCAGCTGTTTGTACTTGAGCCTCCGCATCCGCCAGCGGACTTCCTGCTCCACCGACTGCAGCTCCTTGGAGGTCTTCGGAAGGGCCAGTGAGTAGAGGCTCCGGAGCAGTTTCACGAGGGTCCCGTGCCAGACGGAGCTGATCTGGTCAGGAAATGGACACGGGGTAGGGGTCAAACTCACAACCACCTCTGATACAGTTTCATTACACAGTATGCAAAATGCGCTGGAAACCGTCTCTTTGACCCTATTTTGCAGACATTTACTAAAATGGATCAGAGAAGTCGGTTCCTCTGTTCTTTTGTTTTAATCTAGGCACTTCTCATAGGGGTCCCAGCAACAGGTTGCTCTGTGATGAGACCCTCTCTCACAGCCTCTTTGTGGGCCTGTTTCCTGAGCCAGGTTCACTAGCTTCCAGTAAATTCTATTTCTACTCAAGTTAGCCAGTCATTTGCTATTGCTTACAACTAAGAACTCTGAGAAGAGAAAGTCTAGACTTTCCTAAATGTGAATTTGATTTAACGTTGATTGATTAGCAACTACAATACCCATGACGTGGACCGTGTCATGAGACGTACAGGAACTGACAAGAAGCTCTGGACAAGGCTGCACCACGGACTTCTGTTTACCTTGCTCTCACAGAGCTAAGCTGCAAATGCAGTGCTGACGCTGAGACCAAAGGTCAGAGGAAAAGGCCTGGAGAGTGAGAGCTGAGAACGAATGAGGAAGCACTTAGGCTTTCTAAGTCAGTTTTCATCCAATCTATGACCTTCGCTTTAAACTTTTCTTCAGAAAAAGAATTTGGTGATTTCGAAGCTGAGATCTTTTTCTGCAACAAAGCAATCAAACCACAATTTCTGATACCAGGCGGTTTCTTAACAATACAGCTGTTTCATTAGAGCAGAATGGCTGACACTCTTGTAGAGCAAATGCAGGTTCAGTTGCACTACAGCTAATGATGCCCTCTGTGGGCTCACAGAAAGCAAGCTCCCAGACGACTGGCCAAAGGGCGCAGAGGCCAGCATGAAGGGATACAGGGATACTGGCAGGAACGCACTTGTGGGACGTCAGGTAACGGGGCTCACAAAGATCCTGTGATCACTGAACTCCGAGCAGACTACCTGCCGCTGCTGTCCTCCTCACCAGCACTGGTCCTGAACGGGCTCATGCCAAATGCTAGGGATTCTCTCTAGTACTTACTGCTGCACACCAATATCGTCACCACACACACAGCAAAGACGAGCACAATTAGGCAATTTTGAGAGAGCCCAGAGTAAGTGAATTTGCACCCAAACAGCTCAAAACTAGTGTCTACTCTTGGTGTCATTGTTAAGTGCTGCTGAGTCGGTTCCAACTCATAGCGATCTTGTCTAGGGTTTCCTAGGAGCTGCTGTTGAGTTTGAACCACTGACCTTGCGGTTCAAACTGACCTTGAGGTCGAGTGCTTGTCCTAGATGCTACACCAGTCTTTTAAAATAGCTCCTCCTTCCCTCCTGGTTCCAGCTGTTTCTCACAACAGCAATCATGCTGGCCTTGGAGAAACGCAGGCCCATCAGGTCAACAACTCCTCCAGGAGCCTCGCAGGGCAGACCCCCTTACACAAGAAGACAGTCTACAGCAACATGGGCAGGGGTCTGAACCAGAAAACGGGAGCTCAAGGGTGGCGCTCATACTGTGGCAGTGTCTTGGCTTAACCACTGCTCGTGACCCTAAATCTCCCGCCTCAGGCTTGGGTTCAGCTGTGAAGCTGGACTGGGCTATGCGGGGTTCTGGAGTGCACACAAAAAGTAAACACATAACAAACACCGAAGTTGTTTTAAGAATTAGGGAGAAAGGAGCAAAGTGCCGAATGTGACACATCTCAGTATCGCGTGTTAAGGTATCTTCCATTCGACTCTAGCTCATCAAAAAGCAAAAGCAAAATCTGAGCATGTTTCCCTCTAGACTCTAAACCCTGTATCTGAACTGGCTTTTTAGGAGTTCCAGTTCTGCCCCTGCCCACCCCGTTCGTCCCCACACACAAACAGATTTCTTTCTCTCCAAGGCTGTCCTGCATGCGTTTGGTCACGGTTCCCTAACTCCCTTTCCCAGCCTCCTTTTAAGGAGCCTCCACCAGGGCCTCTCCTCTGCCTCTACTCCAGCTGGCAGAACAGTTCCCAGCCAACAACAGATTTGAAGGGTGTCAGTACAAGTCCACTATCAAATGCCATTCTCCTCCTGGGCCTCCCCATGGCCAGCTGCTGACGGCTCTTCTTTCTACAAAGCACACTTTTCTTGGATACAAGGGTTTTCAAACCCAAGTGCATGCCCTTATGTTACTTTCCAGACCAGCTAGGTTTTTGCTGTTTAGTGCCATCAAGTCAGTTCCAACTAAAGCGACTTTGTACAGGGTCTCCAAAGAGTGGCTGGTAGGTTTGAACCACCAATCTTGCAGTTCGTAGTCTAGTGCTTATCCTACAGCGCCACTCCAGGACTCCATAAGCCTTTCTAGAGTCTTATAAAGCAGAAAACTCAATCTTTCTCCCCCAGAGTGGCAGGTGGGCTTGTATGGTGAGGTGACAAAGCATCACACGAACTGAAAAAACCCCATTTGCCTCCTGCAGCTGCTTACTGTCCCTGGATCTTTAAGATGAATATAGCAGTATTTACCTAGTAGGCTGTTATGGGGATTAACAGAGGAAAGAAAACACACAAAAACATTTGAAATCTATAAACTAATACACAAAAAAGTTACAAGAGCTCACAGCATTTCTAATCATTAGACAGCCTATGCTACTGCGGTTACTCTGGACTCAGTTCCTGTCCAAACCACCCAACAGTGCCCACCTGACTGCTGACAAGGTTGAGAAGCTGCAGGAAGCGGCCATCCTGCGTCACAGAGGCTTTGTCCTTGGGCTTTTCGGCCAGCAGGCGAGAGAGCTGGATGACGATGAGGGCGACCTGATTGGGGTGCAGGCAGGGTACACCTTGAGGCAGTGCCAGCAGCTGCTCTGGCCTGGTGGCCTTCTCAATCAGCAGGTCCACCTCCTCGCGCTCGGGGTAGGGTGTAAACACTGGCACCTTCTCCAGGAGTTCAGTCAAGGGGCCTGGGGAGTGGGGGCTGCGTGAGGCCGTTGAAGAGGTGACGGTCCTAGGGGCAACCCGGGCAAGTCTCAGTCGGCCAGCTCGAGAGATGGCAGGGGCGATGCTGGCAGCCTCCCTTAGGAGGCAGGTGCATCGCTTTACCAGGTGAGCTGTCATAGTGGTCCCCGGGGGGACAGGGAGAAGACTCCTAGGAGATGACTCCACAGTCCTGAGGGGAAAAAGGAGAGAAGGGTGGGGTGCGGGGCCAGTTCAGGGTTCACATCGTAGGAGAAAAATATAACAAAGGAGATGTTCTTTCCAAATAATCCGCCCAAATCGTCCACCCTTTTGACTTTGCACCTGTATGCGACACAGTGTCTGAACCCCTCTGTCTGACTTTTCAATCAGTATGTTGTTGTCAGGAGTCCTGGGGTGGCGATGTGGGTTCAGGCACTGGACTGCAATGTTGGCGGTTCAAGCTCACCAGCCGCTTCTCCTTGGAAACCCTATAAAGGGTCTCTGAGTAGGAACCAACTTGACAGCACTTAACATTTGTTAAGTGCCTCTGAATCTCTTTCAGAGAAGCGGCTGGTGAGTTTGAACTGATAAACCTTGTGGTTACAGTGCAGTGCAAGAACCCACAGAGCCACCGTAGAACTCCACTCATCAGTGACCTGCTACTGCTCTAAGTGAGCCGAGGCAGATCCGGACCAGGGAGACCCTGCATTAGGGTTCTCGGCGCAGAGAGCCGCCTTCTCCTCCCGAGGCTGGCGAGCTCGAACCACAGACGTTGGGGTTCACGGTCCAGCGCTCATCGCATGGCGCCACCGCTCCCCATTCACTCGGAATGGGTCTGGGGTTTGGAAATCAGACTGATTCGGGGCAGTCGGGGCTTTAGAACACGTGATCCCCGAAACTCTTCGGATTTCCAGTTTGCTTGTAAGGACTCTATCGTCCTAGTCGACTTCATCGCCTCTGGCAGGGTCTGTTGCCCCTCTCTCTGCCGTCCCACGGCCTGACGAGACCGTCCGGAGGCACTAAAGTCTAACTCTGGTTTAGGTCAAATGCCAAGTTCCAAGTTTGGATGATTTTGAGGGAACCTTGAGGCCGCCCTCTGCAAACCCGCTGGGAAAGGTCGCTCGGCAAATGCGCGGTGGCGGCCGCGTGCGCACTAGCTGGGGGAGCTCGAGCGCGGAACCACGTTGCTGCAGGCCGCAGGCCCGCGCCCGGACCCCGCCGCGCCCCCATCTATCCGTCCGCGTTTCGCGTCCTTCTCTGCCCCTTCTGGGTGCCCTCAGGGTCCGTCCTCAGCCCCGTCCGTCCCCGGCCGCCAGACCTACGCCTTCTCCACGAGCACCAGGGTTGACCTCCATTTGTCTCCCGCGACGTCGCCCAGTTCATGAGGCGCGGCGCGCTCGGCACGTCAGCACGATAGCCACCGGAAGCAACGCACGCTCAGCGCCGCCGGCCGGAAGGTACGTGCACCGCCCTGTTCCGGCCTGCTGTTGACGTGAGGGGCGGTATGATGTAAGGTGGAGGTGTTAAACTCAGTGACAATGAGAAGGCGGCAGTAATGCTCTGAAAACGGAGCCCAGGATACGTGAACGCTGCTGTGTTGTCTGGGTGCTGCGCTCCGCGGCTCCGTTCCTAGGGGTAACCGCTGCTGGCGCGGAGCCTGCCAGCGCAGCGCATCTCCACAAGGGTAGCAGTTCGAATCTAGCAGGCGCTCCGCGGGAGAAACGAGGCGTCCTGCGCTCCCAGAAAGAGGAGCCCCATCCGGGTCGTTGTGGGCCGGAACCGGCGCGGTGGCTCATAGTCACCGGGGGCTTTGGTGGTGCAGTGGGTTAAGCACTGTACTGCTGAGTCCCCGCCGCTGGGGGGGACAGCAGAGGACCCCCAGGGGGAGCGAGGGGAGGCGGCGCTGCCTAGTGGGCATGTTCCAGCGCCGCCCCTAGTCTGGAAGGTAGAGCCCACGTTGCATCGCCGGGCGAAGGCCCAGAAAGAATAACGAAGAAAAGGAAATCTCGAAATCTTGGTTTTCATCTGTGTTCTTTTAATGTCGTAGCTCGCTCCAGCTGTCTCGCAGTAAACATCAGGGTCCTGAACTCCTCATATGGTTGGCCACTTGAGCCTCTGGCTTGTGTCTTCATGCTCACAGAAGCGCGTGTCCTTGCTGTGTGTTTTGATGGCCAGCTGTGGTCGCTGTGTGGGCAGGTGTGGGATCGCTGCACTCTGACCTCTGACCCTGGAGTACCCCGGGGGCAGGTGGAGGAACCCTCAACAGTGAGGGGCTTCAGGAGGTGCTGCTGTGCTGGGCCATGGGGGCATGATTGCTGCTCCCACTGGGTGGGACAAGAAAAAAAAAAAAAAAAAACCACGAGGAAAAAACCCAATGACCGCAAAAAAAGTAATTAAAAAAAAAAAAGAAAGAAAAAAAATCCGAACCACACAGGGCAAAAACAAGCAAACTACAATAAGAAAAACAAATTGGTAACTAAAAAGAAAGTGGAAAGAAAAAGAAGGGAAGAAAAAAACAATGAGGGAGGGGGAAAGGAATAGTAAGGAAAGAAAAAGAAAAGAAGGGGGGGGAAAAGAAGGGAAAGACAGGTGAAAAAAACTGGGCTTGGCAGGGCACAGAAAGGAGAGGGGGCGGGTGCACTATACCTGCCTGCAGGGTGGGTGGAATACTCGTTCCTAGATAAGAGTTCTCTCTGGGCTGGAAGGTGTCTGGGTTCAGGATAACTAATCCCAGAAGGAGTTTGTAAGGACTCAGAAGATGGTTGGAATTAGGTCACCTGCTTCTGGAAGGAGTTCCTGCCTGCCCAGGGTGGCTGGGGGTAGGCAGCCACCCAGTGCTACATATTCTGGTCTGAGGAGCTGAAGAGCATGAACCTCCAGACTAAACAATTGGAATGGAAAAATTGGAAAATGAGATGTCTAAGAGTCCTTGGAAAGCTCCAACAGATTCCTGGGGACCTCATGCAGGTCCGTGGATAAGCCGTGGGCCCCTGGTGGAGCCAAAGGTGGGCAGGGTGAGGGATGAAGTTGGGGTATGTGTGTGTGGAGTGCAGGCTGCCAGGGGGTTGAAGGTGGGGGCTGGCCACATTCTGGTTACTGGAGGGTGTGGGGAACAAGGGGAAGACAAGGATCAACAAGTACCTCCAATCCTGAGCTGTGCCAATTTAAAAATGGCCAGGTGATTTCCGGCCAGATGACAATTGGTATCTTCTCACCCACCATTTATTTTTCAGTTTCTCCTACTGGGCGTTCAGTCCACTTATCTATGCTTCCCTCTGAAGCTCAGGGTTCCAGAGTTCTTATCCATATTTGTTTATTTGGTCTCTTATGTCCCTGTTGTACAGGGGTCTGTGTACCATGTTTGTCTAGTCTGCCATCTTGCTGGAACTCTAGAAATCTGACTTTTTGACATGCATGATCTGATTTTAGTATTGCCATTGAATTATAAAACAATTGATGTGCAGGGTAAACGGGACAATGTGTATCTGAGGGCTTTATGGACACAGGGCCCTGGTGGTCCAGAGGTAGAATGCACGTTTCCATGTGGAAGCTCCACAAGAAGAACAAAACAGCTGCCTTGCTGACAGCACATTAACCCACAGTGCCACACCTGGAGGAGGAAAATGTCCTATTCTGCATAGAATTGTCACCATTTAACTTGCTGCTCAATGAAGCTGGATGGAAGACTTCATTCTCATGCCTTGTCCTGAGCAAGGCTTGCTCTGTGTGAACACCCTAATCCCTAGGACATTTGTCCCCACAGACCGGCAGCTTTTTAATCTTAACAGCTGCCTGGATCAGCGATGCCACTGGAGGCAACATGAGGCTGACTTAGCAATGTAAATGGGAAAATTGTAAAATGAGATGTCCATGAGTCCTCGAGAACATCCAACAGATTCCTGGGGATCTTGAGGGCCCCATGCATGTCCAGGGTCAGGTGCATGCTTATAAAAGACCTGAAAGTGCCTGTTAGGGTTTGAACTGCGTCTCCATCCCGCAGTGTGTGTCAGTTTGGTGAGGCTGTGATGATCGGTGGTGGTTATGTGCCGTGGAGTTGGTTCTGACTCATAGTGACCCTGTACAGGGTTTTTGAGGCTGTAAATCTTTATGGGAGCAGAAAGCCTCATCTTTCTCCCATGGAACAGCTGGTAGTTTCAAACTGCTGATCTTGTGGTTCATAGCCCGATTTGTAACCACTACACTACCAGAACTCCTTGTGATGATTAGTATTTTGTAATTATCCTCTAATTTGTAATCGGATGTGATTATCCTACATGTTGCATGTCCTGTCCCAACCTCTATGATGTTCATGGGGAGCACAGTGGCTCTGTAGGGTAAGCACTGGACTGCAAACCACAAGGTCAGCGGTTCAAGCCCACCAGCCACTCTTTAGTAGAAAGATGAACCTTTCTGCTCCTGCAGAGGTTTACAGCCTTGGAAACCCTATACAGAGTTGCTATGAGTTGGAACCATTCTATGGCACTCAATGAAAACATTGGGTTAATTAAGCAGGATACAGCCTATGGGATTGTTGTTGTTGTTAAGTGCCTTCGAGTCGGTTCAGCCTATGGGATTAGGTCTATGTAAAGTCAATCTTTCTCTCTTTTTTTAAGTTTTTATTGTGAATTGAGTGATAGTTTACTTGGGAGAACATTGGCTTTATACCTGGATGGCCCTCGGGTCCTCTGTTTCTGGACTGTAACATTAACTACTACCCGTTTTTGTTACAAAACTTCTACCTTTACAATTGTGACAGTCGCAATTAGTCATGATAACAATTACTCATTATTGAATCATAAGAATCTTATCCCCATCTCTTTTAACCAGACCCATCCAAACAAGATGAAAACCATTCAGTGGGGACTCTTTCTTTACCCCCTTCCCCACTCTTAAACTAAACTCCCCCTTGGAACCTTGTAAGCCAGTACTTCGTGCCTTTATCGCCCCCTCATTTTAAGTAGCCAATGTCTAAGTTGCCCATCCCTATCTACCTACCCTGTGTATAGAGGGGATAGCATTGCTACTTGATGTGAAGACTCCTTCCCTCTCTGTTGGTATTTAGAGTTACGACCTCCATGAGTATAGGTCAAGTTCATCAAATTGTAGCAATTTATCCTTGTTTCCTTTATGAAAAATTGTTTTCTTATTTTTTTTTTTTTAATTCTTCCTCTGGTTGAGTTTTGAATATCAAGCCATTGAAGCTAGGTCAAATGGATACTGTCTGCAAGTTTGGGTGTTCTTGTGCATCTCCCCTCACTGCATATCAGCTGGATGCTTCACTCTCAGCTGTAGCCCTCTGTGGCTATGTCCTTGTCCATGGGCTCACGTGTTTCCAGGTCTCACCACATTTTGGACCAACCAACCCTTCCTCTTCTCTCTCATCTCATCTCCAGGTCAGTGGAAGTCTGTGGAATGTGGTTGATCTCAGCCCATTTCTTCACTGCTGTCTTTCCCCCTCTTCACTCACTAGTACACCTATGTGGTTGTCAGCAAGCTTACATGCCTGCTAATGTGTTCCCTTTGAGTCAATCCCTTTTGAGATATAAGAGATTAAACAAGTGGCGGAGAGCAGAGGGATATGCTACCATCAGGAAACAAGAGCTGAGAGCAGAATGCATCCTTTGGACTCTGCATGGGATGCTCCTAGACTCAAGGGAAGCTTGGTGACCTTACACTTTAGATCTCTGAGAAAGGTCAGGCCCACAGATGTTGGAAGGAGACAAGAACCTTTCCTCAGAGCTGACAGAAAGAAAGCCTTCCCCTAGAGCTGGGGCTCTGAATCTGGATGGCTAGCCTAAGCAGTGAGAGAATAAACTTATCTGGTGAAGCCATCTACTTTTGTTATTTCCATTAGAGCAGCACTAGATAACTAAGACAAGGTCCTAAGCTTTCACTTCTGAATGACCTTAAGACTCTGAAAACCCGAAAGTGAAGGCTCAGGCAGCGTGTAAGTACCTTGACAGTATTTAAGGGGTGCTCCAACATGCTCCACAGAGCTTTTCAGCACAGACTGAGAGTTTATTGTTTCCAGAGGTTTAAGATGATCCCTGTCCAGTTATTGACAACTAAAATAAATGAATAAGGACATCACTGACCACAATTACAGATTTTATAGAATTAGTCCAGAAAAGTCACTAAATAAGCAGACAAAACTGCAATAAGCAACAACAAAAAACCCTGGATAGGGAGAAAAGCTGATTTCCAAAGTTGCCCTGTTATATTATTTAAAACACCCAGTTTTCAATAATAATAAAAATGAAGACACATGCGTGCACATGTGCTCACACACAAAAACCAGGAAAGTATAGTCCATACAGAGTAGGGGTACCGAGGAGAGTAAAAAGTCAATACAAAT